CTTAAAATTAAAACAAACCTTCATCATTCTGGTTTTCGAATAGTAAGGTAAGAGAATAAGTTTTTAGAATCATTTTTAAGGTAAGATTTTCTTCCTTTGGGAAGATATATTATTATTCAAAATGTCGTGCCCAGTCATCTAGATAGTAGTCTTAAAAAAAGTTCTATGTTGTATGTTGACACACAAAAATCTCACACAAAGGACAACTGGCTTCATCTCTGGCTGACAGGTTAATGAATGTTGAACTAACTAATGAGAGGTTTTGGGGGGAGGTTGGGCAATGGGGGGTGGCATATGTTGCTTCTTGTATCTCTACCAAGGCCTATCCCCTTGGGATGGCTCAACCTTGCCATACTATCCATCATCTCATCATCTTAATGCTACACACCTGAAGGACCTACAATCAACAAAACACTCTTAGCGAGCATAAGAAAAGTAGTCCTCTTGATGAAGATTAGCTTATCAGTAGCAATCATTTGAAAAATAATAGATAAATCAGACAATAAAATAAATAAGTTATGCACCATCGAAGTCTTCTTAAGTGCGAACCACCATCTTTCTCAGTCAACTTGTCATTTCGAGCATCTTAGAGTGTGCAATTTCAGAATGTGAAGTCATACTAGCCTTCTTCTTGGCCACCTCAGTAGTAATTGTTGCCTCCCTCTCAGCCTCCTGAGCTTCAGAAACTTTTCATTCAACCTCCGTCATCAGATTGAAGGTCTCTGACTATAGTGCTTGGTTGACAGTTGTTGGGACGAGATATTGATGGACCGACAGTTGATGCCCGTTGATGCCCCTATCCTCCAACAACACTCTATCCAACACTTTTATCTTCTCCTTTACTGGAGTGAACCCCATATAGGATTGTTTGGATATGCCACCCCTTAGAGAAAGAGTCCACACAGAAAAGGGTCTTCTATCATTCAATTTTATTTAGCCCGTTAAGTTGGAACATACCAACATAGACAAATTGAATGAATCCATCTAAGCTAACTCAAAATGAGAATAAGAAGCTGAAGAGCTCAATCAATCAGAAAACTCTGAATTGATGATATAACATGATGAAGGCCATGATGTCCTATATAGAGTTGTGCAATATCTAAGCGGGAATGACTCTATTGTATGTGTAGATGGACCGTATCTCCTAGAAGAAAGGCAGTTGAAGACCTAAACAGAACTGATCCTTGTAGAAGAGGTCAGCACCAAATAAGGAGTTGCTCAACTCTTCTCTCTAGGTACTTGAGCCTATTGATAGGATCAAAGAGGCATGGCATTTGCAACCGATCCACCTCCCCCCTGAGTCATCTACAATCATTCGTTCGATACGAACTACTCGAAGACCTTTGGAGAATAGTTTAAAGCTATCAAGAAGAGTGAAGTAAGAGAAAAGTCAAGAGAATAAATTGAAGTGAGAAGAAAAAGGCTAAGTAAAGCGTAACATCACCTATCTGACACCTTTTATATATAGGGAACTAAGAGAAGTCGAACAACTACACAGGGGTAAACACATAATTCTATAGTAACTTTAAGAATTGTTGATATAATGATCACATCAACAAAGAAAATGAGATAGAAAAATAATTTTTGTTTTAAAAAATGACATTACAAATTATAAAAAGCATTCAAAATCTTGCTTGAGATGAAATACTTTACAAGGGGGTCAATCGCCACTTCAACCGAGACATATCCAAGTCGAAGTAGCCTATTATATAAATGTTTCCCTCTTATCTAAATTGATTCAATTTTTGCATCTCAACTAGAGCCTACAGTAACAAGGATCTCTCCTAGACATCTGATAGTAGTTGGTGAAGAGAAGCCACCACGTCCTCCATCCTATCCACCTTTTTTCGTACGAGCCAACAACTGGTGCACCTCATCACCTCATTGGATCCCTGCCGACTGAGCTCAGATTTTCTCAATTTCATCTATGTCGCGAGCCAACAATCCAGGATCTGGCTGGTGCTCATTAAGTGTCGGCTGCCTTGGTCTAGCTGCTGTTTTACTGCAACTAGCTCCTTGGTCAAATTCTCGTTGATGCCAGCCAAAGGCATATCCTCACTTAGATCTCTCTAAACTGAGTCATTTGCACCAAAAGATAACATAAATATGGACATTAAAAAAAATCAAAATCTAAAATGTAATATAAAAGCTTCTCAAACCAAGGAGTAGATCCAATTCAGAGTTGTAATCGACACAACAATCTCACCATGCGAAGGTAGAGCATCAATATCTTCTAGTTGGATTGGTGAGTCTTGTGCCACAATAGATGGTTGGGATGATGAATGGATGGTCGGTCTAGTCGTCTGAACGTTACTCCGCTCAGTGCTGAAAAGCAAATTAGATGACTTGATCCTCTAGTGTAATCACTTTTCTCTTTTTAATAATGATTTTTTTCTTCCTTTCCTTTTTTGGGTGGTACTGCTCCTTAGGTCTCTTGAAGGCTACAAGAATTAGATCTTTGCCGGGGACATCACTTGAGGGATTTGACACATTCTCCATTACAACACTTAGAAGCTAACCAATTCAAAAGAGAGGGGTAGCAAAGAAAATAAGGAGTGTGAAGAGTCACGACATGCCTTATTTATAAGTATAAAAGGCATATAAATTAAAGGAGTTTAAATATTGAAGCATTGATTAATAATAAATGAAATCTAGCTTTTGTATTAAATTATATTATTTTTATCGCAAAGCCACTTTCAATAAATAATAAATCGAGAAATTAAAATATTTACATAAAAATGTGTCGGCTCTGATTCTGAGAAGATCTAACTGTCCAGAAGAAATGTGTATGATGAGAGAAACCACACCAACAGAAGACCGTAAGCCCCACTTGTTTGATTGAGTAAAGCTGTTCGAGGTAAAACCAACAAGAGCAAAGCTGATCGAGCCACATGGAGGAAAAAAAAGACAAGCAAATGACCCAAGCTCGAGCTATCTTATTAGAAATGAGTTAGAAAGACATCCGAACTAACCATTATGAAAGAGCCAATCCAAGGAAGACCATGTTACCCAACATCTCCAACCATATTAGAGACATTCAGAGGCCCCTCCTCAGAGGTTAATGATCGACAACCATACCATATCAACTGATCGTTCTATATCAACCAAACTCAACTGACCAAGTTGATCCCATTTAACCCAGCAGATCTCAACCAATCAAGCTGATCATCTTGCCAATCCAAAAGCAATTAAGCTTATCCGAATGACCTAAAGAGTAGTTGAATGATAGACATATCCATAAAAAAGACTAAAAATACTGTAGTGCGAACTTCATTAAAGTAGGGGAAAAATGTAACATTATCATGTTTTACCTTCTCCCATATAAATTGAGAGATCATTTCATGAGTAAGACACAATATATTTCCACTCAAGCTGATCATCTTGCCAACCCAAAAGCCATTAAGCTTATTCAAATGGCCTAAAGAGAAGTTGAATGATAAACATATCCATAAAAAATACTAAAAATATCGTAGTGTAGACTCTGTTAAAGTAGGGGGAAAATGTAACATTGTCATGTTTTACCTTCTCGTATATAAATTGGGAGATCATTTCATGAGTAAGACACGATATATTTCCATTCATTACTGTTCACTCCTCTCTATGTCACTCTCAGTCTCTTTCTTTCTCTCTCTTACTTACGCTTTATTTATTGAGTGTGATTTACTGATAAATCTGGATTCAACAAGGTGTTTGATATGTAAATATACATGAATTGAGTGGCATTCATGTAAATTCTCCTATAATTTAATAATAAAAAAAGCTTTTCTATACTAAATAGAAATATAAAAGCTATACATATGGAATTATATATTGATTTGCATTTACAAAATGAGATAAATTTAAATAAAAATAAAAGAAAAAAAATGATTCTGAAGTTATAAAATAAAACTACCTTAAATACTATTTAAATAATAAATTATATAGTTATTAACCGAAATTTTTTATTTATTACCCGACCATCCCTAACGCACCACTCCCGAAATATTCGAGTACCACACCCTACACACGGGTGTAGATTTGAACCCGTGATTTGAGGGGACTTACTAATTTCAAAGTGGCTGCTCTACCAACAGGCCACGGAACGCACAGGTATATATCTGCCGTCAAAATAAGCTGAAGCATTATGAGATTATATATAAGGTTAGTAATTCTAAAATTAGAGTTTAGCGTTGTGGCTAATGCTTTTAATCTTCAATACATAAGTTTCTTTTTTGAGGCTTTTTGAATATTAGGTCGGATAAATTCAAGCCTTTGAAGAAAATAAACCTAATGCAGTCCAAGTATAACGGAAGTCGATATCTTGAATAATCCAAAATCGTCCAAGGAAAAATGAAAAGATGTTCAATGTTCCTATTCACCAACCAGATGGAAACATCGCAAATCTTAAAAATTCTATATATATATATATATATATATATAATTTTTTAGTGAAAATATTCATAATCACACGTATAGACATTAAGGGTCTGTTTAGGGCAGCTTATTGGGTGCGGCGGTGTTTTGAAAACGCACCTGAACTGTTTGGGTAAAATGCGTTTCGACAGCTTATGCGTTTTGAAGACGTTGAAAGCAGCGCTTTCACACTGCACATATCTAAGTGCGGTGACAGTTTTCTGACAGCGGTCTCGTTTTTCCAAAAAAATAAAAATTTCTAATAGCCACCGCACTTAGCTTATTAGCAGATTATTTTTAATTAGCGTATCAACGGATTCTTTAATGAGCTGCAGTTCCCCCAAACAGACCGTAATTCTCGAGTTTATGATCTCATGATATTAATAGAAGTTTTTTGCCATTAGACATAATTTAATGAAAAACTATAATAAAAATTTTAAGAAAATAAATATAAAATTGTTATAGCTAAAAAAAACTTATTGCATCAATCAAAAAATTAAATTAATATTTTATTTATTTATTTAAATAAAAACTGTATAAAAATATGATGATGTAAATAAAAAATTAAGCTAGTTAATCCCCAATTTCTCCCACTATTTTGGAAAAACACGACCCACATTTGTCTATCGTCACCGCGACTTCCGATGTCAGCATGCCTCCACAATCTAAAAGCGAAGCCAAATAGTTACGAATTGATTCGTTGGTTCCGGTCACATTCCTTGTACGGGAAGCAAAGTCCTTCGGAGGAATGAGGCCTCACCTCAATAAATTCCTCCGTCGCGGCTCCTCTTCGCCTTCACTCCTCCCCCGCTACTTCCTTCTTCCCCTTTCCGGCTTCATGCGATGGATGATGAAGAAAGGCCGGGCTCTTCGAAGGGAGCGAAGAAGGATCCGAGAATAATCGCGAGGAGGTGAGTGGGCATCCTTCTTTCTTCTCTTTCCCCAATTCAGGATCGGCTATAGGTTTCTTCTTTTTCGCTGCTCCGATTCTGATGAGCAGTTTATTCACCTGGCTTTGTTCGCAGTTACCAGATGGATCTCTGTAAAAAGGCAACGGAAGAGAATGTGATTGTCTATTTGGGGACTGGATGTGGAAAGACCCACATCGCCGTGCTCCTCATGTATGAGCTCGGCCATCTCATAAGAAAACCGAGTAGCAATGTATGCGTTTTTCTGGCGCCGACGGTGCCTCTTGTTCGTCAGGTTCGATTTTGTTGATTTTGATTGGCTTACGTTATATTATTAGTGGTGCTTGGTGGATGTACGTTGCTTATTCGGCCAATGACTCCTTTTTGTTAAGCCCTTTTTACTCTCATAGTTGTGTAATATTACGCAGAGTTTTCAAGTCAGCTCCCTCATCGAAGGTAATTTTCATTACCATTTTAATTTCCTTATTAAAAAATAGCATGTTATCATTGCTTTGAACCCGAGTGCCTTTTTTCTGGCTTAGATGCCCATTAAAGTAGGATATAACAAAGAAAGAGGAATGTTGCCGATGAAGCAATCAAATAAATCAAAGGCAATCTTAGTAAGCTTCGTAAAGTGTGATTCATTTTGGTGATGTAACATCCCAGGTGTTTCTCCCATTTTGTGATGGTCGGGAAGAATCTACACCAACTCTATGAATTTGAATTAGTCTTATACCAATGCTAGTTACTTATTTGCAAACCTCCACTCTTTGGTTTGACAGTCAAGTAGTCTATGCTCATTTTAGGAACTCAAATGGCAATCAACATCACCTTCGATATTAAGTGGATCAGGGCTGAGAACCACTTTTGGAGTGTCTTAGAGAAATGGCAATTAGCCTAGCTTTGTGCTGTGAGGATTCATGATGGAACAAATAGCTGTCATATGATAAAGGCTGTAATGGAAGTTGGAGTACATTATTCAATCATGGAGAATTTAGTATGGCCTTGTTATCTTGGTAAGGAGAATTAGAACTTTTTGATCTATCAAATACAAAATACTGTTTTCACAGAACATCCAAGCAAGTCTTACTCATGCTTTTAGCGATCATTGTGTTTATTGAATTTAACTAGCCACTAGAAGTCGAAGTTTGCTCATAAGTGGATTGTTTCTATATGCAAGTTGATAGAACATCTGTTGAAAATGGTAGGGGAATGGGTGTAGTCTCATCTGCATAGGAGTATTCTATCACATTCTCTGTACCTCATGTTTGAGGCCACCAACAATAAGCATGAGCATGAAGCAATTTTAGTCGTGCTTTGTGCCACACTTAGTATTAGAGTTCATAAGCTGTTAGTTTTCCATGACATATGTTGAGGTCAACGAGTTCAACATAGATAATGAAGAGAGCAATTTTTATCTTGATGCTGCCTGGGCAAGACCAAAGCTGAGATTTACACATTATAGGCAAAGCATGTTTTTTAGAGAGGAGAATCAATTGGTGGACTTATTGACAAATTATGAGAACACACTTAGTATTAGAGTTAATAATTTGTTAGTTTTCAATGACTCATGTAGAGGTTGACTAACTCAACGTGGAATATGAAGAGCACACTTCTTATCTTGATGCCTAAGCTAGGCCAAAGCTGAGACTTGCATATTATTGGCAAAGTATGTTTTAAGACGAGAATCAATTGGTGGACTTATAAGCAAAGTATGATTTCATAACCTCATGCTTGTTCCATTAGGGATGCAATCTTATAAATCAATGAACTCGAATTAATGCAACCAGTTGAGTTGAATATTGTTCACTCTAATTTCTGACTAACTGACTGTTGGGAATGTGGAGATGGGTAATGTGGAGACCCGGTCCACCACAATTTAATTAGTTTCCTAATTAAGAATCTCACATAACGCTCACCTACCTTCCCACATACCGCTCACAAATCACATCCACCTACCACTCACCTACCTCGCACCTACTGTTCTCCTAGTCTCTGTAAATAGTCTCTTATAGCTTGTCATGAAGCCAAGCCAGGTCAAGCCAAATCCTCTAAGAGAGAAATGAGAGGAAGAGAAAGAGAGAGGAAGAGAGAGAAAAAAATAAAGATTTTCTTGTAAACGTCGAGACGCTCGACGGTGTAATTTCTCGAAGAAATAAAATCCTCTGTAGCTTCGTAGACGTAGACAAATTTGCCGAACTGCTTAAATCTGTGTCGCTCTGGTGTTTTTCTGCGTGCAATTTTTCTCGTTCCATTTTTCGCTTTATTCTCATTGTTTTTCATAATAATTGGTATCAGAGACTTTGGTTCGGATCTAAGGAAGTATGATGAACGAAGACGAAGTGATGACATTAGAGATCGAGAAGTTAATGACACAAATTTTGCTTACTTTAAGATGCAGATAGAGAACTACCTTTATGAGAAAAAACTCCATCTTTCGTTACTGGGAAAGTGGCCGGAAAAGATGGAAGAGGCAAAATGAAATCTGTTGGTTCGACAGGTTCTGGGGGTTATTCGACTAACCCTGTCGAGATCGGTTGCCCACAACGTCATCAAGGAGATAACGACTGTAGATCTCATGGTGGCTTTATCAGATATGTATGAAAATCCATCGGTGAATAACAATGTGCACTTGATGAAAAAAATATTCAACTTGAAGATGACGGAAGGTGTGTCCGTTGCTCTACACCTGAATGATTTCAATAATACACAAATCAATTGTCATCTATTAAAATTGATTTTGATGACGAGATACGTGCGCTGATATTATTGACTTCATTGCTAAATAACTGGGAAGCTTTAAGGATGATAGTTAACAGTTCTGCGGGTAAATTTAAGATGAAATATGATGATATTCGTGATTTAATTTTGGCTGAGGAGGTGCGCAAGAAAGATTCTGTCGAGGTCTCGTGTTCAAGTTCGACGCTTAATGTTGGTTCCAGATAGAGATCACACGACAGGAACTCAAACAAACGAAGATCAAAATTAAAGTCTGGTCAGCAGACAACCTGTTGGAATTGTGGCAAGGCGACCACATAAAAATGAACTGCAGGAATCCTAAAAAGAAAGAAAATGATGACGCTAATGTTGTAATTGAAGAAATACAGGATACGCTATTGCTGATAGTTCACAGTTCTGTTGATGACTGGATACTGGATTCAGGGGTTTCCTTCCATACATCTTTCCGCCGGGAGTTAATGCTAAATTATGTTGCAGATAACTTTGGGAAGATATATCTGACTGATGTATAAGCTTTAGACGTGGTGAGGATAGGATACGTTGATATTACACTCCTTAAGAAGAGCGAATGGACTTTGCAAAAGGTCAGACACGTTCCTGAGTTGAAGAAAAATGTCATCTTTGTTGGGCAGCTTAATGAGGGTGGTCATTCGGTGGTGTTCTCAGATAACACCTGAAAGGTTACCAAAGGAGCATTAGTACTAACTCGGGGTAAGAAAACTAACACACTATATGTGAGTACAAATTTACTCAGACGATGACACATGAGTCAGAGGTGCATTATGTGGAAGCAGAAGAAGATCAGTTTCTTGAAAAGTGGCAGAGCGCCAAAGGTAGGAAAACCAGATCTTGTACAGACAAATGGTAAAAAACCACAGAGTTATAAAGAAATCTTGCAAGATGAGAATTCGAGCAAGTGAGAGCTGACTAAGGAGGAGGAGACAGATTCCCTGCCAGGAAATCGGACTTGGGAGTTGGTAGAACTTCCACCAAGGAAGAAGACATTGCACAACAAGTTGGTGTACAAGGTGAATGCGACGCTTGGTGGAAGTAAGAGGTACAAAACTGAACTTGTTGAGAAGGGCTTTCAACAGGGGCAGAAAGAATATTGCTCATGCAATATTGCTCATGCAATGGGAGTTGTAAGCAGATATAAGAGTAACCTAGGAAAGAGCTTGGTGTTACAAGGCTACATTGATGGTGATATGTTAACTGAGAGTGTTACTCGTGAGAAATTAAAGTTGTGCTCGAGTTCAGCTGGTCTTCTGGCATGAAGATAGGGTCTTTGAGTTGCAGAGGTAGAGAATATCATGTTTGAGGAAAAAGTCGGTACAACTAGTAGATAGATGATGCAGCCAGTAGGTGATGCAGCCAGTGTCCCAGTCTCAAATTGGGAGAATTGTTGGGTACTGTGGAGACTCGATCCACGATAATTTAATCAGCTTCCTAATTAAGAATCTCACGTACCGCTCACTTACCTTCCCACCTACCTTTCCACCTACCACATCCACCTACCACTCACCTACTTCCCGCCTACCGCTCTCTTGGTTTCTATAAATAGCCTCGTATGGCTTGTCATGAAGCCAAGCCAGGTCAGGTCAAGTTCTCTAAGAGAGAAAGAGAAGAAGAGAAAGAGAGGAAGTGAGAGAAGAAAGAAGAAAATAGGATTTTCTTGTAAATGTCGAGACGCTCGACGGTGTAATTCTTTGAAGAAATAAAACCCTTTGCAGCTCTGTGGACATAGGCAAATTTGCCGAATCACGTAAATTTGTGGGTCGCTCTGGTGTTTTTCTGCGTGCAAATTTTTTCGTTCCATATTTCGCTTTATTTTCGTCATTTTTCATAACATTGAAAATCAAGAAGTGCTCTCAATTGTGTTGAAGCAAGGATGCTACAACAAAAAGTTGGTAGGCACTTCATGTCCAACCAAGAACTTTATTGGACATCCCATTTAATAGTAACTTAGAAATGCCCCCAACCAGATATCTTGATATGTAGAGAGAAATTCTTAGCAATAAGTATGACAAAGAATGTCCATGTTTTCAAAGATAGTACTTTGACATGGCTGTTATTGGGCTACAATAATGCATGATGTTAAAGTGTTTATCAAGAAATGCCAATTTTGTTAATTCTACATGAGCTTCTTTTGTCAACTGAGCTAACTGTTCAATCATACGTGGGATGGATTTCTTTCGGTCCTTCATTTATTTGACATGAAAAGGATGATGATATCTGCCTCTTTGCTAGTTTTGGTGGATTGTCACATCTAGGGCATTGAAGCAATGCAACTAGAGAAAATAACTATTAATCTTGTCATGAAATTTTGAAAGAATTTTATTTTCACTTGCAATGACTTTCTTTTCACAATAGTAATTGATATGAATCGCAATTCATCAACACCAATGTGATATGATTCCATTAAAATGGTTTAACATGAAGTTTTCTTTAGTCAACCACATACAGGTAAATAGAAAAATCGATGGAGGCAATCATAAAATCCACAACTTAGTGAAAAATAAGCTACAAGGAAGATGAGGGCTTTCGGTTGACAAGCTA